AGCTGTTGAATAACACGTTCAAGGAAAAACTGTTGGGAAGCACAACTGGAAAAACTACCTCACAGCCATCACAACCATGACAGGATCGTGTCACACTAGCTGCACAGTCAGATGTTCAGCTTTTGTTTGCCTGCCTCTATCTTCACACCAATTTATTTTGCATCTTGTCTACCTTCTAACCAAAGGCTCAGATAAATATGGAGAGAAAACAAAAGCACTTTAAACTGATTCAAAGGACAGAACTGTAAAGACTTTAATAATAATCTGTAACTGGCTTGCAGAATTTAACCTGAAATGTGGCAGAATTAATCCCCACTCTGGCATCTCTTCCCCTTGTTTCTACATTTTTTTTTTCCCCCACAATATTGTTTTTTCCCCAGCAGGACAGACCCTGACTGCCTAACTCTGTTGACTAGCACCTTGTACTGGAATGGCTGGAATCTCCTGAAGCTTAACCTCCCTGCGGAAGGGAACAGCCTCTCCAAAAAACAGGGCAGCATCTGCTTTTAACAGCACAACAATCTCATTCCTGAGTCTTGGCCACTCAGACCTCGGAGTTCATCTGGGTGAAGGAGAATTTGCAGATCTAAGCCCTGAGACGATTAACTGAAAGCATAAATTGCAAATGTTACTTGAATAAGACACACAAAGCTCCTTTGGAAGCCTCTGGATACAGTGCAACAAAAACCAAAAGTTTTTTTGGTGGGTCTTTGGCCAACAAGCACCCAATCCAAAAAAAACCAAGAATATGTTCTTTCTTTCGGATACAAAGCACAGTAGTTAACTTAGAAACATCTTCCTGTCTCTAGCTGAATATCACTATGTTTGAGACACGAAAAACATTTTACTATTAAAAGAGATGTTTAAACAGTTTCTCAAAAAATCAATCTCATAAAAAACTGCAAGTGGCTATTTGAACTTTTGCAGAAATATATACATTTTAGTGAAGGAATAGGATTTCTCTCAAGCTGAAATTTCAATTTCATTTTTTTTTTCAGAACACAAACCAAAAAGCAAGTTTCAGTTAAAAACTAAAAGGAAACTTTTATTTTGATTTTTGTAATCAAAATGTCAGAAGCATCAGAATCTAGTTAAAATGCTGTTTCTTTTTTTATTTTTCTTCAATAGTGCTAGCTCAGTCCAACATCTAACAGTAATTTAGCTCTGCAAGGTAAATAGGTAGCTGAGAAAACAAACCCTCAAACTCAATGCCTCATTTCATAAGATGGAGGAGGCACATGTCAAAATAAGCAAAGCATCCACGGGCAGTAGCAAATACTAAAGGCCCTCAAGACACAAAAATGTTAATAATCAATCATCAAGTCCTACGGTGGCTTAATTTCCCATATCATATTTTTTAAAATATATTGAAGACTTTTTATTTTGTAAAAAGGAAGTAGCATTGCAATAAAATAATTGAAAATCCCACACCACGGTCACACGGACCTTTAAAGAAAAATACAGTAAATTACTTCAAATTGCCCATCTTGGCATCCCCCTTCTCCAGATCTCCCATATTACAGTAATCAAGACAGACTTTTGACCTGTGTGATTCACATGATGCTTGGCAACAAGTCTGTTATATCCATTTCAGGGTTAGAGAAAATCCATTTTCGAGGAGATTAAACTTTTCTTTCAGGCTTGAATAGGCCAGGCCATGCTCAGCTGCTATCTGGGATACTGAGCCCATGTTTCACCCAAACTGGACAAAGATAAGGTTCTTTCCTTATCTTCAGCAAGAGAAAAAGAATCAAAGTCTTAGAAATGGGTCAAATTCCATTGCCATTGGGATTAGTAACTCCACTTAGATCAGCTGATTTTGAAGTAATAGAAAAAAAACCCTTATAGTTTCTGAAGGAGACTGACATCATTCAAAAAGGCCAATTGCAAAAAAAAAAAAAAAAAAAAAAAAACCTTACTTAGCTAAAACTGAGAGCAGTCAAGAGTAGCCCACGTAGTAATAACTGCTCTGCAAAGGGCAGTTTGCTCCCAAAGCCACTGCTGAGCACTGCATGTCAAACACTCCTCTTATTTTCATGGAGACACAACTAATGGAGACTGGCCCCAGGCGCCCTGGAGCCACCCAGATAAGAGTCCACAGTGTCTGTCTCTAGCCCAGCGCTCGACTCTATTTACTGGAAGATGTTTGGAAGGCAGCAAAGTTCCCTGACATTTCATAAAAAGACTTGTGTTTTGTTTTTTACAAAACAGGGCCAGGATTAGAAATCAGCCCTTTTCCCTTGTGATTCCAGAGCCTCGAACAGTCCACTGGCTTGTTCCTGGGGATCACTAAAAAGGCCAGACCAGATTTATGAAAGAAAAACACATCGAAAAGACGACACGGACAAACTCTTGCCCCCACTACACATTCTTTACACAGTTTAAAAATAACATGACCTTACAACGCAAGATTAGTTGCATTTGCTCAAGATTCAAAGTGAGGCTTATTTACTGTGAAAATGAGATACATAGAATTTCTCCCCAGCCTAGTATCTTATCCTTGAGTACCTGACTGCGCTGTACTGGCTGTTCCTGGTTTTGGTGGACGCAGGAGTTAACAATTCAGCAGAGTTACTTAATATGGCCTTGGCCACCTATCACACATACAGCATCCCTGACCAAACAGTATTTTACTGGTTGCTTCATGTGTGGTACTCTATATTGGAAGGACTTGCAAAATTTGTTTGCTTTTTTCTCCTCCTCACACCTACTTTTTTTTTTTCTTCCTTTTTTGTGATTACTCTGAAAAAAAAAAAAAAAAGGATAAAAAGCTTCAGCCACTGTACATTGTTTTGGGCAGGAAAGCATTCACATAGATACGCAGACACATGCCTGAGCAAGGGGACAACTCTTCACACAGGACAACATACCACTACTATATAACTTTATAACACTACTTAGCTGGGCTAGAGGAAATGGCCGGAAACTGAAACATCAAAAATTCCATAGGAACTTAAGGAAAAATTTCTTAACAGTGAGGGTGACAGAGCACTGGAACAGGCTGCCCAGAGAGGTTGTAGAGTCTCCTTCTCTGGAGATCTTCAAAACCCGCTTGGATGCAGTCCTGTGCCACGTGCTCTAGGTGTCCCTGCGTATGCAGGGGGGTTGGACTAGATGATCTCTAGAGGTCCCTTCCAACCCTAAGCATTCTATGATTCTAGGGAAGGGAGAACACAGGTTTTTTCTTTTTTTTTTTTTTTTTTTTTACCAGACTAGAAAACAGTGTTTAGGGCAGAAGATGGAAGAGGTTTGAAAAACGTAATTGCTGCTCTCAAGTAAGTGTTCAAGACTTTAACCAAAGAACTCCAACATCACCTATTCAGCAGGCATTTTTATAATGTAAGTGAGGAAATGCTATGAGTGGGGGAGTTAATTTTAAGACTATGTTGCACTTCAGGGGCATGAGGGACACTTGATAAAACTTTGTAACCAGCAACACCTACTGCTGTACTTGCCCCTCACCAAATACAGCTTTTCTTTAGCAATTTCCTTAGAGGAGCCACAGAAATAGGCTTCTCCCACAAAGCTTAAAGAAGGTCTGTGCCTGTGAGTGGGGGCTATAATCTCATGGGGCCACCATTTTCTCATTTCTCAATCCCACAAGAGGCAAAACTAGTGCCTGAATACATCAAATATACTTTTCTCTTTAATTAGCTATTGGTGCATATTTCACTGGAGTGGCCTTATCACAGGGTTTAGTGCTAAGATAGTTAACTACTTGTACAGATGTGATGAGGGTATTTAGTAAAATGAGTAGTCTAAATACAGAGGTGAACAGTATAAAGGTAGCATTAATTTACCTGTATACATCTAAGTCGTTCAAATACACCACAGTACTTTATTTATCCATTGCCATAGGTAAAATCAGCAAATTCAGCTTGACTCATTTATTTCCACTTCATTCTGATACATTATGACCAAAGGAATCAAACTCTCACAGCACAGTAAGACTGAGCCTATATGATAAAACTCACCACAGCTAAGGACATTGGAAAGTTCTCATTTCATTCCTCTGGTAAAGGGGACCCCAAAACAGCACGTACTTTGGAAATCACAGCAAAGATCAGGGGCTGCCTTATGTAGCCACATGATCATGAACAGCCTCAGTTTGCAATTCCTGATTCAAGGGAGGATATAAGGCCTGAAAAATCAGGACCTCTCGGAACTGGGCACACCTGAAAAGCAGGTATCCAC